TGCAGTTCAATGTCAACCTGCTAGCACCTCTCGCAAGAAGCATCTACCAATGGAATGATTTCTTACTTGATAAATAACCATGGAACCGAGACGAGAAAGATAGGCAAACATCCAATGACTATATAATCATAACAGGGTGGTGTAAGTACCTGGCAACATTTGAGATTCCCACCACAAGCAGCAAAATGCAAAGGAGTGCTTCCAGCTCCTACATTCATGAAAATTAGAGAAACCGCGATGACATATAGTTTTAGCAGGTCGTAGGCTATCGCTTGTAAGATCATAACTTGCCTATCGAATTATCTGACACACCATAATGAAATGTAACTGCTGAGACATTGGCACCTAAATCCAGTAAGAGCTGTAAGCAATCGAAGTAACCATTAAGGGCTGCCATGTGCAGAGCCGTGACACCTCCATCAGCAGGCTTGTCGACGAACTTCAGCAGAGCACTGCAACATTTAGTTCAAGTCATAGGGTGTGTTCAAATTGCAGATTTGTAACACAAACATTCGATTCAGATAACATACAACCGATCATGTTTACTGTCAAGGGAAGAATCTGGGCTGCTTCCTTTGCTGTTCCCTTTGCCCCTGCCGTCCTTGACAGAACCAATCACTTCATAGGGAGCACTTGGAATGAAATCTGCAACCAACAACCTGATGCACCGGACATGCCCGCCGAACGCCGCGAAGTGCAGGGCTGTGCGGCCGCTCAAGTAGTCCGCTCGTGAAACCTACAAAATTTGGAATCAAGCTTCTCAAATTTTGTTTCCGAACAAGAAAGGATTCTGGCATCTGCGCGCACGCATCCACACATACAATGCTTCTGAAAATGACCAGAGTCTGCACCACCTCCCAGTGCCCGTGCCGGGACGCTTGCATCAACGCTGTCTTAAAATCCAGTTCCGTTCAGTAGAAGCGTAAAGGTGGAAACTTTCCAAGATCTATTTACAGAAACGAGGAAACCAAAACAGAGATCAAATGAGAAGGCAAGAAGCGGATCGCGTACTTGGCCACAATAGTTTCTTAGATTCACGTCGGCGCCGTTCTCCAGCAGCAGCGTGACGATCTAATCAGACGCCCCCAACACGAACAAAATCAACAGATGAGGCAGAGCGTCGAAATTTCCGGACTTTTAATCGAAGAGAAGGAGAAGAGAGAGGGTGGACGCCGACTGACCTCGTTGTGGCCCTTGGCGGCGGCGAAATGGAGCGGGGAGTTGAGGCCACGGAAGGTGGAGTACTTGGCGAGGCCAGGGTTGAACTCCAGCAGCATCCGCGCCTCCACCAGGTCACCGTCCCTCGCCGCCGACACCAGCCTCTCCCCGGAGGCCGAGCACCCCAGTGAGTTCCCCATCCCCTTCCACTCCCTTTGGGTTGGCTCACCCACTCCCTCACTCCCCCAACAACTATATCAAAAGGTAGTCCTTTTGTCTTGGCTTATATTTGTCTCGGGAAACACTTGTGGATCGGAAGGTAAAGATAATGAGCGGTGGCAGAAGAGATTTCGAGAGACGGAGAGTGTGTGCGATTTAGGACAAACAAATCCTGTGGCAAATGTGGTCGACTGAGTAGCTCACGTTACTCATCTTCTTTTAAGGTCAGGACAAGAACTGAGAGGCTCGCTAGGAGAAGAAGGATGGCAGTCAATCTTGCGTGTGAAACAGAGACACACACTTTATAGATCACATGTCACTGGAACTAGAAAAAGCATGAATGAGAAGATGGATGGATTGAAGAGGATCACAGACCCATTAGGATTTCAAATAGAGATGACAAATGGCAAATGGTAAGGAAGGCAGGTAGAGGCTGGTGAGATTTATTGTTTCCCTTCTCTGACATGGGCACAGATAGCTGAAGGAACCTTTTTCCTGGCCAAGTAAAAGCATTCCTCAGACTCTACTTTGTCCAATATATGTGTATGATTACTGAGTAAGAGTAGGAACTTTGATGGCCACCCTGATATGATTGTGTTGCAGACTCATGTGGAGTGTATGTACAGGTAATAATAATAGATATGGAGAGGCAGGAAGACTTGGGAGTCGTGCAAACAGGTGAGATGTCAGCGTGGATAGTCTTAATAAGATGAGGGTGAAATGTCACACCAAAGTTTTAGGTTACAAGATCTTTTCATTTATCTTTTTAAGAGTGATGATCGATATGATGCTAACATATTCGATCGACACTTGATGGAGAAGGAGTATATTATTGCACAATCGAAAGGAAACATAGGGAATTGTTGAAGGAGGTGACTTGCCTTTGAATAGATTTTGTAGGTAGATGTGGAGGCCAATGATTGGTGCCACTTCTCCTGTGAGGGAAGCACAAACTTGCAAGCAACTTCAAATCTAAGCTAAGATGGACAACAACAACACCAACTTCGACATGTCCTGTGCAAGAAAGCTATCTCCATCCACAACAAAACCCTAATATGCGCACACACAATTCACATTAATCTCTAGAGTTGAATTTGCATCGATTTCAAAAACTTTTGGATCGATCACAGTGCGATATAAGTATTAGGCGAAGCTGTGGGTTGGGTTGGGTTGACCTCTTTGGTCCTCCTCGTTGACGACGACCCGCGATGCACATGGACGCGACTAGTTCGGAAGGTGGCGACAAGAGCTTGAGCTGTGAGCTCACATGCTTTGGGGCGTAGTTTAAGCATTTGAATCCGCAGCTAATGTGATTAGACTATAGGATTGTGCTGTGGTTGACCATTCGAGTGGTGTGTTAGGATTTCACTCGATAAGAGCCCCCCAAATCATGATTCAAATTGATGGGCCAAACTCGTGCTTTGGGCTTCTATGAGTACTTCCACTTTATAATTAAAGAAATAACATATAGTGTTGATGAAAATATGAAACATAATATCTTGAAACCATCAAATCGAGCATTAAAGAAAATGAACAAACTAAAAGACTCCTAATTTAAGGCTAACCAGAATAAATGAACAATTTGAAACAGTTCTTCGACCTAATCAGAATACGAGAACCGATTGAAGATGTATCTTTACCAAAAAGATATAGGCATATTGTGGACAAGTGTGGATGTTGTCGATGAATAAACTTATCGTGGTTGATGAGTCAGCATGGTATGATCCACAAGTCGATGTCGGGAGTCTTCTGTTGGTCGAGCTAGATGCCGAGGTTGATCGGGCCCTCGCGACGGGGTCTTGATCAATGTCTCTCAGTCCGGGTACCAGTTGATGGCTTGCCTTGGGGACATCAGTTGGTGACTTCTAAGGTTGGGACGCTCGTGGGTCGTGGATGGTCGCTTTCCTACAAAAATGACCTCCGTCAGGTGATTCTTGACTTTGGCCCCTCCGACGAGCAAGTCAGTGGTGGGTTGAATTATTTTTTTTTCGCCTCTTCCTCGTCGGATGCCGACCAAGGGCTTTTATACCATTGTACGAGAGTCGGTTGTACGCGGGTTCGATGTGGCCCCTGATCTTCGAGAGTTGAGACAGCACTTCTAACCTGCCATCGTCTCGGGACGCGTGGAGCGGCATCAAACAGCACCGCCCAGAGTTTTCGGGACGAGACATATCGAACAGCGTCTCGGTACAGATTCCGACTTGGCGTGTGGGGGTGTTCCCCTTGTTGATTCTCGGGTTGGCGTGATGGTACGCGGGTCGAACGATGTCTTGGTACGAATTCTGACCTGGCGTATGGTATCGACTGTGACGTGTCTTAGGCCCAAAATATGCCTTATCAGATGTAATCGACGTAACATATGATATCGCATTCGGATGCGAAATCTTATGGATTATGCTTTGAAAACAAGCACAGTATGATGGATCAGTTTCTTATAATGACATGAAAAGGTTCCTCCATTTGTGACAATGATGCCAAATTTCACCCTTACTAGATTGATAAGTTTGATTTGACCGGATCGATTTTTAAATGAAATGATGAGGATTTTAAAGATGTACTTCACGAGGTTCATATAATACTTAAATTAAGATCAATTGAATGTTGAAATATAAGTGCTTTTATAGAGTGTTGCATTATTAGAGATGAAATTTTTTTTTGCAATTATTATCTAAACTATTGAAATTGATAAGTATATTAATATTTCTACTGTCAATGTGTTAGTAGAATAAAGAATTCCATCAAAAGAGTCATCGAAAAGCAACAAAAAAAAATAGTAATTAAGATTTATTTTTTTTATAAATATTATGTTTTGATTTTCATTGAGGAAAGGAGATATGGAGAAATACTTTTGGTACTTTTGGATTTTTAATAAAAGAATATTTTTTAAAATTATTAGAGAATATGAGAGAAAATATATATATTTTTTAGATTTATGTAAAAAAATTTATATCCGAGTGAGGATAACTTAAGATCTTATAATTAATGTCATGTGATAAAGAAATTTATTCTACGTGAATAATTTTTTTTATTTTTATAATTTTTTATTTTTCTCTAACATAAATAATATATTATTAGAATAGAATTTTTATTTCACTGCCATTGATGTAAAATATGCATTATTATGTTAGTTAGGAAAAGAGAGGAACATTTGGTGGTTGCATGGAGACTGCATTGGTGGAAATAAGCAGGGATATGACCCGCTACGTCCTCTGCCATCAAACACGTGCATGCATGTCCATGCACGAAAAGATTCCCTCGGTAAACAAAAGATATCAATGTTGTCCTTCCTCCACTTCTCTAAGTAGTAATGATAAGTTTCGTATGAATCAAAGCCAGCATCCACCATCATCCATCAAATATCGTGCCCTCTTAATGGGATCTCATTCATGGCGAGTAGCTGCACTTATTAACGCCACTATTTATCCTTCCTCTTCATTGAGGCGATGGCTTCAACCATCTTTTGTACCCTCCTCATCAATACATCACTTGCATCGACCTCCCTTTTGTGCCATTTATTACCCCCGCCATGAGTTGGGTTCCCGTGAGAAGCGTACATGGTTAAATCATAGTGATTAGCTTATGACTTTAAGTAGCAATCCAACTTCGATCTATGATGATAAATATGATAGGTTAATACATTCCCATATGTTACTGCAAACAAGCAAGTAAAATGATCAATGTCTGAATACGTTCACATACAATGAAATAGCAAAGATTACAGCGTCGTCTTCCACAAGGAAATCCAAACTCGCTGGGAGAAGGGAACACTACAACACCAACGGGACGCGGCTGTGGATCGAGCAACAGCGTTTAGAGAGGTAGAGAGAGAGAGAGAGAGAGTCAATGCCCGAACCACCACCATTGCTCGGTGTTAAGGATTATGGACTGCGCGCAGGGCTTGCAGTTGGCCATACTTCCTTACCACATAGCAAAGGTTCTTCGCTCGCGCGGTTCGTTCTTGACTCAACCCATGGCCACGGCACTCTCCCCACCACCGCTGGATCCCGTCTCTGTTACGGCTCGCAGTTGAGCGCCGCCTTGATCTTTTGGACGGTGCACGAGATGAGGTTGTTGACGGTCTCCACCGACTCCACCGTCAGTTTCGCCGTTGGCTGGCTGTTCACCAGGATCTGGAACGCCACTGTCAGCAGCGAGCCCCCGGCCTTGCGCGCACCGCCGCCGCTGCCGTCCGGGAGGATGGCGAAGCCGGAGGGGAGGAGGGCGACGTAGGCGGAGTCGCCGCCGCTCATGACGAGGTGCATGGCCGGGGTGTCCACCGGCGCGTACACCACCAATGATCCCGACGCGTCCGTGCACGTCTCCTGCAGTATCAGCATGCTGCTCTGGCTTGCACTCACGGCCTGCATGGAACCCATGTTATGGCAGTCATATAACCTGGATCAGTAGTGATCGCAGCCAAATTATATATGTATAAGATGAATCGAGTGTGAGAGAAGGCTTCTGAAGCTAAGATAGCTAAGCATCATGTCAGAACTGTAGAAGAAACGACGGCATTGTGTCTGTCCTTCATATGTCAAATCTAATGGTAGTACTGTATCTTTTCGGAGAAGAAAAAGGAACAGGCCACCACAGTGCGTATCGAAGTGGGAAAATACTGACGCTGGCACGGAGAAGGGAAACGGCGTTGCCGGTGTTCTGGCCCTTGGCGATGTGGGCCATCTCCTGCATGGGCCCGCCGTTGGAGAGGATGTCCCACTGGCTCCGGAGTTGCTCGTTGCGGAGGAAGTCGAACAGGCGCTGTGGCGAGAGCGGGAGCCACACCGAGGTAGCGGCGCTGAGAACCACGCCCGGCGGCTCCCCTGGGTCGGCCACGCTCTGCCTCGTCATCACCCGCACGTCCTCCCCGATGTTGACCCCTCCGCCCAGCTTGTTCCACTCGCGAGCCGACGACGCGCAGACCCCGGCGCAGAAGTTGTCGGTCATCCGCTGCGCCAGCTTCAGCATGCTCCTCCGCCCGCTCGGCGTCACCGCTGTCGCGGCAATCCCGTGGGGCAAGTCAAATACTGAATTCTATGAAACTACCGCTGAAGACAACAAATTCATTATTCGCATGACACTCACCGGTGTTGTCATCGTGGGAGAGGGAGGAGGACATTAGGATGGCGAGGGACTGGCACTGGCGCTGGAGTGTCGCGACCCAGCGGCGTGCGCCGAGGGCCAAACCGGAGCGCAGCAGCGGGCGGTACAACGGGTGAACTGTAGTCTCGTCGTACTCGGCGTGCTCGACCCATGTGACCTGCGCACCACCCTCGTCGTTAGTTCATTAATTCCTCAGTCTGCAAGGTTGACGCTACAGTGCACCTGCTGGACCTGGAGATCACCACATCTCATGGTCGCCAGTGCACGTTATCACTAAGAGACAGCTTAATCTGTCAACCACCATGGAAACTCGAGACTTAAAAGAAAAACGCCAGAAGCTTTGACCACCATAACCAATGCATGATATCCCCAATAGATGGACGGAATTTTCTACCATTAGACCCTATTAAAAGAGGGCGTATTAATGAATCTTTAGGGGAGGAAGTCAAGACCGGGAATACAAGAAACCCATGTCCGAAGGAAAGGAGTCGCGGTTCGCGAGGGAGTAGCCATTTTTAGCACCAATCCGCGGGAGTTGGGAACAGCCAGAGGAGAGACTTCCCACAAAATAATGAGATAGGTAGCACAAACGAGACACCTACGAATTGAATGCGGACAGAGAGCAATCCACGGGCGAGGCTCTCAAGGTGGTAGAAGAAGCATCTAAACATATAAAGAAAGAAGCACCAGAAACAAGGGTGAAGAAGAGATGACCGAATTATATTGATGGTAGCGTGGACGCGCGACCCAAATAGATTTGGGAGCACGAGCTTAGGCTTGACTTCTAAATCTCTATTAAAACATCACGCCCAACACATATAGAACTGCTTATGGTTAGTGCAAGATGCTACTGAAACGTGAGTAATGTGTTCCAGAGAGGGAAGAAAGAGGGAGGAGTGGGGAAGTAGAGGGATTTTATTACCTTGGAATACCCATTAGGCATATCTTGCACTACGCACCCAGAAGGAAGCCTGCGGCATGTCATTTTAGCCGGAGGAGCAGATGGGTTGCCTCTAATTCCGTCGATGGAGACGTCGACTATGGCCCAAGCACCCTCGGACAACTGCTTGCAGAACCTAAGGAAACTGACATCCCGAACGGGAACCAAGGGAGAGAGAACTTGGAGCTCCGCATGCATCTGGTGACACACCAAAAGAAGTCGGCATCAGACTCGATACCCATGAACGAAGGAGTGGTTGGTGCAAGATTGCTTAAGCAGCTGCAGGACATATGAACTCACAAGCTGGAGTGCACCGTTTCTAGTCGCGGCCATGCCGCTGGAGATCACGTCTGCAGCGGTCGCTTTTGCGATCACAGAAGGGAACATATCTGCCCATCGAGCCTGCCCATGGATCATATAAGAGCTTGGATTCACGTGCGTATGCACTGGTAAAACGATGCATAGATTAAAGCTAGCTTACAGCGTCCATGAGAGTCTCGACGAGGGCTGAGCTGTTGATGATGACCAAGCCGGTCTCCCTGGTGGCCTCCGACGCGAAACCATTGGGCTTGGCCCCGACGCACCGAGGGAAGCACCGGTCGTACTCGACGTAGTTCAGTGTTTCCCTCCCCGCGTCCAAGCTCGGGATCCACAGAGGCTCCTCCATCTCGGCCATCTTCACCAGTTCATCCATGGCAGCGAGTGCAAGCTCCAAGAACACGAACTTCTCCTGAGACGTGTCCACCCCACCGATGGCTCCAGCGCCGACAGCCCGCCCGGGGGTTATTACGGTGCCTAGAGGGCTTGAGGTTCCAGAGGTGAAATCAGCCAGCGGAGGCAAGGTAGCGGCCGCCACCGAACCGAGGCCGGCAAAGCCATTCGTACCGACCGCGAGCTCCAGCGAAGAGTTCGGGGTCGGGAGAGCGAGTGGGCCAGCCAAGGCAGACACGGGCTTGCCGAGGAACTTCCCGGCAAGGGCGCAGACCCGGTCGAGCTCATCCTTCAGGCGAGCATACTCGATTCTCAGGTGCTGCTCCTCGAGAGAGATCTCGCCGAGCACCACGGGGCCACCGCAGTTGCAGCACATGGGGTTCCTCATGGCCTCTCTGATGGACAGGTTCTCCGCTCGAAGCTTATCGTTCTCTTGCTTGAGGATGCTGTTCTCGTACCGCTCCATCTGGGTCTGGTTTCCATGATTCGCAAGCACGTCAGGAAAGAGGGGAAACACAACCCAAAAAAAACGAGATTTTTATAACAGAGATGAACTCAGGCAAGAGCAAATGCCTTCATCTGTGTTCGCCGGTTCTGGAACCAGAACTTGACCTGGCGAGGCTCCAAACAGAGCCTCTTGCTGAGCTCCATCCTTTGCTTCTCGTCGGGGTGGGGGCATTCCTTGAAAAGGCTAGAAACAGAAGATTCAAACGAGTTGTTTTCCTTTGGGAAACGAGGGCAGAATCAAACGATACGAGGTCGATGCAAATGGATCTCTTACGCTTCCAGCTCCTGGATCTGCTGAGGGGTGTGGCGGTGGTATTTCTTCTTCTTCCGGGGATTCTCTAGCTCCAAATCGTCTTCAGATCCGCCTTCCAGATTATCGCTCCCTGATCTGCTATCGTTCTCATCTTGCTTTCTCCGACGAGCCGAATCCAGGTCTTCTCCGTCTCCTCCGACGGCGGGGACCAAGTTTCGATCCCTGTGCGCGTCCAAGTTCGTTTGCTGCGGAAAGACACCAAAACCGCTCCAAGAAAGCGAACAATACGGGATAAAGAAGGAGACAAGAAACGGTGGGTTACCAGGGCGAGGGAGAGGCCTGGGGAGCTGAATATGGACTTATGGAGTGAGGGCGAGAGGAGGGGCGGGTGGGAGATGGCGCCGGCGGGCAAAGCGGCGGAGCTGCCATACGGCATGTCGAACAAACCCCCGAAACTCATCAAAGATGTCCTTTTCGTTCTTCTTGAAGTGGCTTCCTTCTCCTTCGAAAGCACCTTGTCCCCCTCCAAGGATCACCGTGGCCTGTGCTAGATCTAACGAGAGCACTCGTCTTCCGAACAATCCATCTGGGATGTGCAGCAACAACTAAACAGGACAAAGCGAAATCTAAAAAAAGGGGAAGAAAACACTAAGAAAGAAAAGCGCAAAAGAGATCTAAAGGATAGGCGAGAGAAGGCAAAAGCATCAGCTGTGGCATGAACAAATGCCTCCAACTCCCTCTCGGTGTCCTAAGTTTTATGGGGTAGAAAGAAAGAGAAGGAAGCCAAGCATAAACACTAGCGCCCTCGCGACACCGTGACCCCAACCCACCCCGGCCAGAGACAGAAAAAAGAAGCTACAGAACCCCAAGCTTTCCTCTTCCCTCCACTACTGGGTGCCTTTTCCCCAGTACCCGAGCTTTTACAAGCTCAGAAATGGTGGGAGGCGTACAGTGGGTGAGCCCAAGACAGAGGGGAAGGCCATCTTTATATGTGGGGACTCCGATGCCGCAGAAATCAAACAAAAAGGTAATCTTTTTAGGGAGATAGAGGAAGGGGTGAGCTCAGTAGAAACAAAGTAAGAAAGTGGTCCGTTGACTGTTCCCTCTGTCGTCCTCGTAAACGGTGGATGAAAAGTCCACACCGAATCAAAGCTTCGCCTCGGAAGTAATGATGCAAATAAACGAGATTTTATAGATTTATGCAAAACATCAAATCAATGATGGGAATGAAACACCACATTTTTTGACATTTTAAGGGAAATATGCATGAAATATTCCCCTGCAACGAAATAGCGGCCCTTTTCCACGCCATCGCCACACCCTCCCTCCCTTCTCCTCGACTGCAGCGTCACTGGAAAGAAGTCCAAAAGCCCGCAGAGTTGATAGAAATGGCAGGCCGACTGTGGCTCCGACGCATTTCTCGTCTGCTCCCCCCCTTCCGTTTCCCCTCAGGCGTCCTCAACTCACACAAAGCGACGAGAAGCGAAGCAAGAAAACGATAGGAGAAAGCCAAAGCCAAAGCCAAATGTCGTGTCGTCTGACCTCGCTTCAGCCGACGACTCCTTCGCTCACTCCTTTCACACCACCACAAGTCAATGCGTGCGTAACAGACAGTGAAATTTTCTCAGATAATTAGCAGACGAAAAACCAAAAAAAGAAGAGACTTTCTCGACTTGTCGACCGTACGATCTTAATCGGACGAACGCGGCATGGCGATGGGGGGATTCGGGAAACACCTAATGGCCGGGTCAAAGCTCGGTGGGAAAGAGGCTTTCAGGTGATTAATGAGTGGACCAGGATGCGGAGGGCCGATCACTACCGTTGGTTTCCTGATCAAGGGTGTAGGATCGTCGTCTAATGTGTGCCTTCCGTGTACCAGCTTGTCATTACCAATGGCGTCCATCAATGTTTATCGCCCATCCATTTAATTTTCTTCGAGTTCTTTTTGTGATTCGATAAACATTCCTCGTGGTTGGAAGCATGCACACTAAGTTGTTTTCTTCTCTCAATATTTCATTAACTTATATTCATAATGTCATTAGCGAAGAATTACTATACCTTGATAACTTGTGGTCACCATCACCTTAGAACGAGTGGTACCCTCGTCGGCTATCAGTTCCTATTAAGAAGTATGGATTAGTATGTGCAGCTTAAATTGGAATACGACGCATATCTAACATTCTAGGTAGATGGTGGACTTATATGACATGCCCCTCGAGAAATACAAAGATTTCAAGACGTTTATGTTCGTATAATAAAATAGAAATTTGAGATGATTTCAAAGAAGATGCAAAAGAGACAGGCCGACTAATCAATACATAACGACAGTCAATGATTGTGATGCACATAGGATTTTTTCTTCTGATGTCCACACCATCTGAGTAGATCAAGAAAAACAAAAGTCTACCCACATCAATTCCATGCTTTGAGAATGCAGATTCAATTCCGTGCATGTTTGTATGATGATTCCTTGCGTGTTACTACGAATATAAAACCTGCAAACTTTGTCCTTAAGCTTAACATGTAATCTTACCTATGTCGGAAAATATTTATTTGTGGGTGATGACAATAGGATATTTCACTTTGATCGTTGTCAATCTATATAAACTTCATGAATCCGTAATCCACTGTATGTGATTTGATGTGTCTCTACACTTTGATCCTTGGCAAACAAAAGTACATGCCATAACGTGGCACATGAAGGACAAGAAGCCATTTAAGTTCCACGCAAAGCTCCAACCATCTCACTGTACCTCAGCTCATCGGTTCTCCATGGCATGCTGTCACTGAAACTTTCCTGCAGGCGTGGGCCAACTTCTGCGTGAGACGAGAAGGATTTCCATACACAGTTGGTCCCGTCATGGGTTGGCAAGTGTTGCCCGCAAAGGGGACGATGGCGGTGGATAAGACTGGAACTGCACCCAGTGAGAGAAGAACACGATGGCATCTGTAGTCTACATGAGCAAGGAGTCTGCGTCAACGAGAAGAAGACAAGGTTATAATGCATATGGTTTGGGACCTCCACCGCCAGCTTATCGCCGGTTCAGATTTGCGAGTTGACAGCGAAGACTACTACAGTACTCTCAGCCCAGGCTGGTGCAATCAATCTCTGCTCGAAGGGATGCACCCGTCCCGCAGTGAGATCGGCTTAAAAGACATTAGATATCATTCTCTCGTGGAAGATTTGGATTTGACCTCTCTGTGTTCCTCGTTCAAAGACATCACCGTGTGCTTCACTGCTCGAGCGTCTCCATCTGCAAAACTGTTTACGATCAACATCGAAACGGAGAGGAGCAAAATTGGACTTGGAAATCTCAACTCTCGGACTTTGGGGCGGTGGGAACAGTGGATGGGCGGCTATGACGGCCAACGTTCGTCCTTTTGTAGGACCTTCGAACAGTGGGAAGAGTAATCGTGTCCATGCTTCATGATGCCGGGTGTATACGTGTTCATGGTCATGCATTAAGGCGCGTGCGAAGACATGATTGATGTCTTTAAGATTCTCATCATGGGATATGAACGGCAGGATTTCGTGCAATTTCGTGGGCTAACTCTGGACCCGGGTCACGACATAAGGCTCGGGCCGGACCCGAAAACCTGGGCTTGTGAGTTACTCGTTTCTGCATTGAATCCAATCACGTCTTCAAATTCGCATCCAAAATTTTACAGGCAAAAGAGAAAATTAGCATACAATTAAGTGCCAGACCGAATTATTCATGAAAGCAGGGATGGCACGAGCCTATGTTCACGAGTATTCTACTCTCCTTTATGGTTCGATCGGAATAAGTCATGTTAAAAGTTTATTGTCGAGTCGATATGGCTCAATCCTATCCTAAAGATGCATGATCATTCCGAAAAATCCTCTCAAAAGTAAGATGGGAGACGTGAGTTAAATAGAGGATAGCAAGGGTCACTTTGAGGTGATCTATGAGCTTACAAGGTAGTCCTAAGAGGGACTTGAGTGATCTCGATTTCTTCGGTACCCTGTACAACAGGTTAGTGTCGGGTGGGGATTTCCAACTCGACTCCTCTGACACTTGGATTAGTTTTGAGTGGGGACAATGATTTTTTTCGAGATCCAGAATTCGATCCATATTAAACATCAAGAATCGATTTTTATACCTACAAAGCCTTCAGGATGTGACCATGGTCGATAAAAACTACTCGTACTTCTTTTGATAATATATGCATGCAGAAAATCGCTCAATACGATCCTCCTCGTGGCATGGGTCAATTGGTACAATCTCATAAGATATAGGTTAGATGGTACGATCTCCTAAGACACGGGTCGACTGGTATGATTTTGTTGGGAAGAAACCTGTTAAAGCGGAATAATTCTTTCCCTCTTTGTGTATTAAAATAGGTTCCTCATCAAAATACCAACTTGATATCCAAATGAAAATATCAACCAGCACAGCATAAACAATAGAGCAAAAATCAATCAGACAGTGAGACCAAATCTTTTTAACGTGGAAAATCCAATGTGAAAAAAATCACGGGACCGTAATCCACCTCAAACTTCCACTATCAATAATAATGATAACAAGTTTACGGTATGTCTTCTATAGAATAACTAGAGGATCAGTATAACATTAAGAATATAGATCTTTGCTCTAGCATATCATCAGGAGGGATCTCCTCAAAAGAAAATTCTAGGTCTCACAAAGTGAATATCGCAGGAAATACCTTAGAGAGGGTAAACTGTAGATCAACACCGTTAAGATTGTAGAGTTTGCTGCAAGGATTCTCCACATAAAATTTGGGCCGAAAGTGACAACGTTTGGCCACCGATCGTCAAGCAGAAAACTTAGAAACCTAATCTTTCTCACCTTCTCTTTCCTCTTTTTAATTGACAACGCTACAATCTGATCTATTTTCCTCACCTTCTCTCTCCTCTTTTTAATTTCTTTCGTTTGTTGATTTGGGTTCAATAGGCCAATTGTCTAAGCCCAGGCTGGACCCAAAGATTTTCCATGATGCAGCGTGGAGCCATACACCCCCTGCAATGCCACGCTAGTAGAGAATGATCAAGACGTGTCAACTATCAACTCAGTCGTCTACAATGTAAGTAAATATTTCATTGTCTTCTACGTCAACTCCTTGATCACGGTTGATATCTTAATATTTCCCGTGAAGTTTGAACAACCAATCAGGTTAAAATGTCGATACAAAGCAAATAATTGAACATGAAATTGCGCCCCATTACTCATAGTAACGAGAGGCATGAATGCCATTATCATTACAATTACAATGGATTACGCATCAATCGGACAGGATTTAAAATGGAATCGCCTATGGGTGCTCGACAGAACCCGTGAAATCGTCTGAAACACAAGGAAAGAAATAAGTGCACATATGTACCGGTCGTACGAGTTCCATTTCCTCCAACCCGGACAGCTACTGTTCCTTCCCGTGGAAACCGCGTACCAGTAGCAGCAGTAGTAGTCGCGAAGCAATGGCTCCTCCTCCCTCAGCTGTCCCACCTAAACCGCGTCGGTTGCAGGTTGGCAAACGTGTGTGGGCTTAGGATTCTTCCCTTTCTTTTTTTATCGATCTTATTGAGCTGTCCTTTTGCAGCTCTCACGATGCAATTATTTTTCTTGAGGTATTAATCCCATTCATTGTATAGGGCCTGATAAGGGTAATAATGACGACATGATGTGCCACGATGTCAGCCACGCCTGAATGACGCTCTACCCTAAAGAGGGCAATAATATCGACGCGATGTGCGCCGACGTCACCCGCTCTCAGACAATGATTCCATCGTCGTCTGACCCAACATGCTTGGCTGAGGCAAAAAAGCACGACGACCGAGATTCGCCCATACCCTGCGGTAGTTCGGTTCTCCACGCAACGCCAACGGCGATGTCAGACGCCATCAGAGGTACGATCCTGCCCCCGTAGGCAGACACATCAGGTAACCTTAAACTTACCTATAAGTACCCCCGAGTTCCAAACGAAAAGGGGG